TTTAAAAAATTATATATAAAATTTTTAATATTATAAATATATTAATAAGTATTGTCATCACGATCTAAAATTTATGAATATAATCATTAACAGCATGTGTGACATTCTAGAACTAGAACGGTCTATTCTGAAACCAAAACAAAATGGACCATTCTAATTTTAGAACGGGCTGTTCTGATCATGACAAAAATTTGACATCCACGTGACTAACAATTAACTTCGTCTAAATAATTTATATAAAAATCTGACATTGCAACTATTTAATTTATTAAAAACTAAATTGAGATAAAAAATAAAAATTAGACTAAATTAAAACAAACAATTATTATAAGATACTAAAATAAATTTTTAGTCTATTAATTATTAAAATTATTGAGGGAAATTATTAAAATTATTATTATTATTATTATATGAATAATAAAATTTTCTATACCATTAAGTTTTTATATAAAATTAAATTATATAAATAAACAAATACATATAATATCTTATTTTATATACAGTTTATTAAAGTAAAAAAGTCCCCAGTACACTGAAAAATTTTCAATTAATTTAAGATGTTAAAACTAAAAACCTCATTTTTTTTTTAAAGAAAATAAACTAAATTTATTTTAAAATTTTTCAAATAGATATTCCGTTTCAAAAACTAAAGATAAAAGATAAAAAAAAAAAATGTATTACCAACCACAAAAAGAATGCCTAGAAATCATCAGATTCTAATGCAGACATTATTAAGAAATCAACAATTTCCAATCTTCACATTTCAACGATTCACCAATGGCAACAAAATTCAAAACAAAAGTATTCAAAATCATTTCAAAAGACATAAGTGTAAAAAGGTTCAAGGAGGAAATAAATGTGGGTTACAACCAGGCCCTCAAATCATTGTTTTCATCAGTGAGAGCAGACATGTTGACCCAATACGATCAATTTCCGTGCCCACAACCATGCTGCCTTCATAATTCAATCCAGAGCATCGGCTTATTGTGCACGGTTTCAGATTCAACATCGTATCACAAACACCATAAACAGAACAATAAAGAGAAACATTATTTCCCAAGCCTACGAAACTGTAACGAACGCCAAAACCCTAAATGAAACGAAACCAAACCTTGTACCGCTGCTATACTCTCTCTCAGCCGATGATGTACATGTGAGAGTGGAGTCGCTATTTATAGAAGGAGATAGTCGATTAGGGTTTACTTGCTAGGTTATTGGGCTTATTCTTCAGAGGCTTGGCCCAAACTAAATTGTGGGTTACGTTGTACATTTTTATCTTCATTACGATTTCATTTGATTTTAGTTATGTAAAAAAAAAATCATTAAATTAGTCTTCATAAATTTTATTTTTGAAATGGTTTTATGAATAATTAAATTATAATAAACAATATTTTTAAAATTTTTAAATGAAGAGTAAACAAAAAAAATATAATTATTGAGAGCCAAAACCAAATTAAGTTATATTTAGAGAGATAAAAAAAAAATACATTTTATCCTATCCTATTTGAAGTTAGAAATTGTTAGAAAGATTTTACGATTTAGTAGATTACTGTGTGAAATGTGAATAACGGTAATTTAGAAAATAATTATTTTGATTAGTACTTCGAAAATAATTTGGTTTCATATTAGTACACAGCGTAGTAAATATTAGACATAGTTTAGGTCGAGAAAATATATTTGACTTTACTTCGTTTCCTTTTTTTTTTAAAATCATATATGAAAAAAAAAAGTGAAATCAATAAATTTGTTTTAAATATTTTTAATTAATTTTTTTTAGAAATTAGTCTTAGAATAATGGATTTAAGGCTAAATCAACTCTACAAAACCAGCTTATAATGTGAGAGCTGCTTTCCACTTATATATTAAGTAATTGCCTAATCTCTGGTCGATGTGGGACTTGGGTTTTTTTCAATATACTCTCACGTCCAGGACTTGAGTTTTTCCCAATAACTCCCTCACGTCCAGTCCAACACTATTGGGCTTAGTACGTGGATAAAATAAATGATAGGTGACCCTTTTTAATGATCTAGGATTGGTGGAACTTTAGTTTTTCTTAATACACCCCTAGGTAACCCTTTTTAATGATATAGAATTGGCGGGACTTGAGTTTTTCTCAATACACTCCTTCATGCCTATGGCGCATATATCAATGGTAGGTGACCAATTTTTAAGAATCTATGATAGATTTGATACCATAATAAAATAGTGGATTTAAGACTAACTCAACTTTACAAAATCGGCTTGTAAAGTGAGAGTTGTTTTCCACTTATATACTATTCAATCGCCTAATTTCTAGTCGATGTGAGACTTGAATTTTTTTCCCAATAATTAGGAAACAAAATAAAATTAAAGAGCTTTAAGAAAATAAAATTAAAATTAAAGATAAAAATAAAATAAAATAATCTTCTTGAATCAAATGATAACCAACTTAAAATCGTTTAGTTTTCAAATACACCCCCTTAAACAATGGACCGGTTTGACCCATAAAAAATAATTAACTTAAATTTTTTTTGGGTTAATTTGATTAATCAGGTAAACCAAATGGGTCATACCAAACTAATTACCGGATCTATTTAATTCAATATATTTTTTTGTAACAAATAAAAAATAAAATAAAATAAAATAATTTGAGCTATTTAGGCCAAGCCAAAAATTAGTAGTCCGAGAATTCAACCCCACTCCCGTTACTTTTATTCAAGTACCTCGAGTTACTATAGATACATTGTTAAATCTTTCATGAGATTTTGTTTGGACATGACTTTATGTATATGAGTTAACTAGCATGGAATAACTTCTTCATACTGAAGTTGCATGGAAGAACCAGAAAGTTTCATCATTTGATTTGGATGCATATTTATTCACGATGTTACACCATAAATGAAATTTCAATTCAACATTAAAAGTCAGTTGAAGCACAAATGGAATAAAAGCTCAAAACACGTTAAAAATCATAAATTCACAGACGCACTATTATAATTTTACATAACAAATATATTACTTTAGTCTCACTCTCATGCATTATTATTATTCACCAAAGACACAATCTCATTCTCATGCATTCAGCAGCAACGTTTGTTCACTCAAGTCCATGTCTCTGTTTATATTGCAGGGCAAAGGCATAGATCTTGTGAGGGTGAGGGAGTGACGTGGCCACACTGTCTTTTTGCATGCACCTCTTGGCCCAAGCCACAAGTTTGGGACATTCTTCCTCAATGCTTAGTTTCCCAAATGTCTCAACTGTGTAAAACCAGCTAGTGAAGGGAACAAGAGCCACATCCACATACCCAAAGTCTTCACCACCAAAATATGGTTTGTTTGCAAGTTCATCTTCCAAGGTCTTCAAGCATTCTATAAATTGTTTATTGTGCTCTTCTTGCTCTTTACCCTTCCCTGTCCATACCCTCTTTACACTATTGTATACCTACACCAAACACAATCCCAAATCTATCTTTACCCTTCTTAAAATCAACTTACAAAAATAGCAAAACTAAAACCAACTAGGTAGTAAATATTTATGCCCTTGTCATGTCTACATACTTTTAGTAGGTTTTTTTTACACCTATATTTTTAGTAGTTAATGTGCATGAAATATATCAAATAACAAATATTATTATTGTAAAAATACAAGTTTTGAATTGTGGTTCCAATCCAAATCACTGTTACAGTTTTGTTGCCATTCTTGATTTCATGAGAAATTGCCAAATTTTTTTTATAATTTTTTTTATTATTATTTATATATAATCGTAATTGTAGTTACAATGACTTAAAAGCCTTATAGTGTGATCAAAATTGCAGCCACAGACAGTTTATAAAATTTTGCTAAATATCATTTTGGTTAAATTGTATTTTTAGTTTTGTATAATATCTGGTTCACAATTTTTGTTTCCTAATTATTGATTTTGTAATTTTATAAAATTTGTAAATTTTAATCTACTCACTAAATGTCTATTTATTGATTTTTATGACTTGACATTAAATAAATTATAGAACAATTAATATTAATAATATTTAGGTTATATTTTACTTTTAATTTCATTTTTTTTATCTAGTGAAAATGATAACATGAGATTAAATACATTAAAATGGAAACTAAAAATGTAACTTAACCAAAATATTGTTAAATATTAATTATCATGTAATTTGATTAATTTCAAATGATTATACCAACATTTCAATTTAAACAATCAATGGTTGAATATTTATAAAGGGATCAAAATTATAAACTTAATAAAATTAAAGAACTAAAATTATGAAATTAAAAATTAAAAGATCAAAATTAAAAAAAAATGTAATTTAACTTATAACTAATCATCCATCTAATCAGTATTGAAAAGGACAAAGAAAAAACTAATTTTGACCATTCTTATACAAATGTAAAACTATGCATATGACTTACATTTTTGTCAATGTAATCGCCCCAAAACCTGGCTTGGGATCGTTTGTAAAGATCAGAAGGAAGGAGAGAAGGTTTGTGGTTCCATGCCTCATCAATGTACTGGACAATATTCAGTGATTCACATATGGGTTTTCCATTATGAATCAAAACTGGTATCATTTTGTGAACCGGGTTCGTTTCCAAAAGCAGAGAACTTTTAGCTTGAAAATCTTCTTGCTTGCACTCATATGTGATACCCTTCTCAGCCAAAGCGATTTTCACTCTCATTCCATAAGAGCTTGGCCAGAAATCCAGCAGAACTACATTAGCCTCTGCCATTTTTACCTTGGTATAATACTATGTAACTTTCTTGGATTAATTTTAATTTGAGACCAAGATTGTTCAGATGGTTTACATATGTTTGTGGATTTGGGGTATTTATACTTGTGCATTACTTGTTTGCCAAGAAATGAAACGTGGAAGGTTTACCAATGATGGTGTCATTGCTCATGCATGTTGGAAATGAGATCTATCTTTGTTACACTCCTTGTTCGTTCAACTTTTGATTTCGATTGAAGGGCGATCCTTATCTAATAATTCTATAATATTTTAGCATTTTTTTTGTAGAATTAGAGCACACATGGTAGATTTGGGTGTCTTAGTGGAACCACTGCAAATGTGAAAGGAACATATTCGGATATATTTATGGTATTATAATAGAAATCAAATTTGACACGGGATGTGATGTGAGTATAAGAGTGAGCTAGAATGACAAAAGTTGATTATGTGTATCCTAACTAAAACACAAATTCAAATCTCTCTGGCTTGCTCATTTAATTTAATTGCTACTCTGATGTAAGTGCAAGAGTCAGTTACAATGACAAAGAGTTTTATTGTCACTTTACCTTATCTCTAAAATTGAACGTATATATTTTTTATTATTAGAATTGATTTAGGAGTAAGGAATTGAGGTGATACACACAAAATCTTAAATCTGAATTCTGATTGTCATTTTAATATATAATAAATTCATTTATGATATCATCTTATATTTAAGAAATTGGTATAATATAAATTTAAATACTTTAAATTTTATCTTTTAATTCTTTTAGTTAAAAATATTTTATTTAAGTCGATGTAATCCTTTTAATTATGATAGATTAAAGATAAAATTAACAAATATTTATGAAAAACTAACCGAGTATTTAATCCTATAATATATAAATGCCTAAAAATTACTCAATAAACAATAATGCATGACATATTATCGCCCTTAAATATATATATATATATATATA